CCATCAACCTAGAAGGGCTTTGTGTGTCAATTTAAAGTAGGTCTGAAAAGAAGATGTTCTACTTTTGTAAAAGCCAACAAAAGAAAAAGCACACACATACACAAAAATACTGATGGGTTTCAATAGCCTTCTGATCACTCCTTCAGTACACAAAAACAGGACAACAGCCTCTCCGCCAGGCTGGAGTTGCCCTCCAGTTGTTCTGGACTATTACATGTGCTGATGGGATTTGCCGTCCAAAACACCTGGAGGGCACCCACTTGACAAAGGCTGGAAGAGAGTCTTTCCTCCTCCAGCTACTCAAAGGCAGTGGGCATATATTCCCCTCAAACCTCTTAGCTATGCCTGGAGGGAAAGGGGGGGGGGCTCACCAAGGACCCAGCTGCTGCCAGCTTCCCTTGTCCTAACAAGGGATCCTTATCTTTCTGCTTCTGTCCCCTCGCCATCCAGCTTTCAGGCATGCTCAGCCACTCAAATCTGGACCCCCAGCTTCCCTGATACAGTGAAGGGGGCAGGATGAATGCCTCTATGTCCCCTCCACTACTCAGCTCCAAAATCATTTCCCAAATCTCAATTAAGCAGCGAGTATTCTTACAAACATGTTTGTGCAAAGATTCAGCATTCTATCTCCTCTTCCTGGACAGGGCATTTGTTTCTCTCACACACACACACCTTCACACCCCTGTCTAGGTAACAAGCAAGGCTTTGCTCGCACACCTAAAGTCAGTTTTCTCCTGAATCAGCCAGACTCCTTTAAACCCAGGAGACCCAGAGCAGAGAAAGCCCCTCTTAGTGCTCTCCTATTCAAGGTGATTTGTGCTGAAGTGAGCTTCCCTCTCTGAGGATATGCAGCAGAATATTCTGCCCTCTTTCAAAAGCTATTGGACCTCTCAGTGCCCAGCAAACGCTTACTCTCCATATCTTCTCTCCTTTGCAACATTCTCCTTTCAAGAGCCATAAGGCATTTCAGACCTGCTAGGCCAACGGTCTACCCCCACTCAACTTAGGCCACTCAACTTAGGCGTGGATATGCTAATGCTGCAGATTTCTCCTCTGCCTCCACTTACCGTATTTTTCGGACTATTGGACGCACCGGTCCATAGGACGCACCTAGATTTTGGGGGGGGGGGGAATAAAGGCAAAAAAAATTTATTCCCCCCCCGCCAGGCGCGGGGCTGGGGCGGGGAAGCCCGAGCTTCCCCCTCCCCCAGAACGGGACCCAGAGCCATGCCGAAGCTGCGCGCAGCTTTGGCATCGCTCTGGGAGCTTGCGGGGCTGGGGGAGGAGGAAGCCTTCCGCCAGCCTCCAAACCATGTCGGGAGACAGCGGGATGGCGCGCTGCGCCTCTCCCGCTGTCCCCCGAGTTTGCGGGGCTGGCGACGGGGAGGAGCAGGCTTCTCCCCCCGCCAGCCTTCTAGACAAGTCGGGGGACAGCGGCAAAGGCGCGCTGCGCCTCTCCCGCTGTCCCCCGAGTTTGCTGGGCTGGCGATGGGGAGGAGCAGGCTTCTCCCCCCGCCAGCCTTCTAGACAAGTCGGGGGACAGCGGCAAAGGCGCGCTGCGCCTCTCCCGCTGTCCCCCGAGTTTGCGGGGCTGGCGACGGGGAGGAGCAGGCTTCTCCCCCCGCCAGCCTTCTAGACAAGTCAGGGGACAGCGGCAAAGGCGCGCTGCGCCTCTCCCGCTGTCCCCCGAGTTTGCGGGGCTGGCGACGGGGAGGAGCAGGCTTCTCCCCCCGCCAGCCTTCTAGACAAGTCGGGGGACAGCGGGAAAGGCGCGCTGCGCCTCTCCCGCTGTCCCCCGAGTTTGCGGGGCTGGCAACGGGGAGGAGCAGGCTTCTCCCCCCGCCAGCCTTCTAGCCAAGTCGGGGGTCAGCGGGAAAGGCGCGCTGCGCCTCCCCCGCTGTCCCCCGAGTTTGCGGGGCTGGCAACGGGGAGGAGCAGGCTTCTCCCCCCGCCAGCCTTCTAGCCAAGTCGGGGGACAGCGGGAAGGGTGCGCTGCGCCTCTCCCGCTGTCCCCCGAGCTTGTGGGGCTGGCGGTGGGGCTCTCCTGAAGCCTGGAGGTTGTGGGGCTGGTGGGGGGGAGAAGCAGGCTTGCTTCTCCCACCCCCAGCCTCCAGATCAGGTCGGGGAATAGCGGGATGGCGGAGCACCGCCACCCCGCTATTCCACGACCTGATCTGGAGGTTGTGGGGCTGGGGGGGGGGGAGAAGCAGGCTTGCTTCTCCCACCCCCAGCCTCCAGATCAGGTCGGGGAATAGCGGGATGGCGGAGCGCCGCCATCCCGCTATTCCCCGACCTGATCTGGAGGTTGTGGGGCTGGGGGGGGGGGGAGAGAAGCAGGCTTGCTCCTCCCACCCCCAGCCTCCAGATCAGGTCGGGGAATAGCGGGATGGCGGAGCCGTATTTTTCGGACTATTGGACGCACCGGTCCATAGGACGCACCTAGATTTTGGGGGGGGGGGGAATAAAGGCAAAAAAAATTTATTCCCCCCCCGCCAGGCGCGGGGCTGGGGCGGGGAAGCCCGAGCTTCCCCCTCCCCCAGAACGGGACCCAGAGCCATGCCGAAGCTGCGCGCAGCTTTGGCATCGCTCTGGGAGCTTGCGGGGCTGGGGGAGGAGGAAGCCTTCCGCCAGCCTCCAAACCATGTCGGGAGACAGCGGGATGGCGCGCTGCGCCTCTCCCGCTGTCCCCCGAGTTTGCGGGGCTGGCGACGGGGAGGAGCAGGCTTCTCCCCCCGCCAGCCTTCTAGACAAGTCGGGGGACAGCGGCAAAGGCGCGCTGCGCCTCTCCCGCTGTCCCCCGAGTTTGCGGGGCTAGCGACGGGGAGGAGCAGGCTTCTCCCCCCGCCAGCCTTCTAGACAAGTCGGGGGACAGCGGGAAAGGCGCGCTGCGCCTCTCCCGCTGTCCCCCGAGTTTGCGGGGCTGGCAACGGGGAGGAGCAGGCTTCTCCCCCCGCCAGCCTTCTAGCCAAGTCGGGGGTCAGCGGGAAAGGCGCGCTGCGCCTCCCCCGCTGTCCCCCGAGTTTGCGGGGCTGGCAACGGGGAGGAGCAGGCTTCTCCCCCCGCCAGCCTTCTAGCCAAGTCGGGGGACAGCGGGAAGGGTGCGCTGCGCCTCTCCCGCTGTCCCCCGAGCTTGTGGGGCTGGCGGTGGGGCTCTCCTGAAGCCTGGAGGTTGTGGGGCTGGTGGGGGGGAGAAGCAGGCTTGCTTCTCCCACCCCCAGCCTCCAGATCAGGTCGGGGAATAGCGGGATGGCGGAGCACCGCCACCCCGCTATTCCACGACCTGATCTGGAGGTTGTGGGGCTGGGGGGGGGAGAAGCAGGCTTGCTTCTCCCACCCCCAGCCTCCAGATCAGGTCGGGGAATAGCGGGATGGCGGAGCGCCGCCATCCCGCTATTCCCCGACCTGATCTGGAGGTTGTGGGGCTGGGGGGGGGAGAAGCAGGCTTGCTCCTCCCACCCCCAGCCTCCAGATCAGGTCGGGGAATAGCGGGATGGCGGAGCGCCGCCATCCCGCTATTCCCCGACCTGATCTGGAGGTTGTGGGGATGGTGGGGGGGAGAAGGGAAAAAGTGCGTCCTATAGTGCGAAAAATACGGTAAGTACTCAACAGGCCTCTCTCACCTTATTGCACATAATAATACTATTAGTAGTAGTAGTAGTGCTTGTCACGAGTTACCTCAAAGTGGTTTACATTTTTTAAAAAATCAATTTGATACAGCAGGTCACATCCACATCATTCAATTAAAGCACACATACGCAAACAGTCCTGGAAACTGTAGTTTACCACTCGCAGAGCTACAATTCCCAGCACCTGTAACAAAATATATCTAATGGGACACTTTTTTTTGGTGGCAGGAGCCATGAACTTTAAGTATATGATGTGGATGTAACCATGCACAAAGTTAATCCCTGCACATCAATTTGTTGGAGAGGGGGATGGGCAGTTTTAAAGTCATCCTTGCCTGTTCCTATCCAACACACTTAGGATACTGGGAGACGTCCCCAACCTTTCGTCTCAGTGATTGTGTGTGTGTGTGTGTGTATTTCTTCTCAATCCTCTCCTTACTGCATTACTGTATTTTGTCCCTCTCAATTTGCTGCTGCTCCCCCTTTCCCTAGGCAAGAACACCCCCAACGCAAGTGCTTCTTTAGCCCCCAACCCCTCCAACTTGCCTGGGAATGCCCACTTCCTCCCATCCACCCCACAGCATCCCCTTCTCTTTGCCAACTACTCTTGCAGCCCCAACTGGAACCCATCAGACAACTCCCTCTCCACATGTGGCTCCAGGTGCCCTGGACGCCACGCCGGGACTCCTTTCTCAAAGTCCCAAGGCTTCTCATTCTCTCCCCTCCCCCACCGATCCATGTCTCCTCCCGCCCCTCATCCGCACAGCCCCCTCCGTGTCCTCATCCTTCCTGCATCCCCCACGTACGCGCACTGCAAGCACACACACACACACACACACGATTTGCCACTCCGCGCCTTGGCAGACCTCTTTGATCTCACACTTGCACCCGTATGGGCCACCCCCCCCCCACGGCACACACACAGCAGCTGCAGACCCTCCTTTTGTAATCCCCCCACTGACCACTCCTCTGCCTCGGCAGGCCTCTTGCTCCCCAGCTCCCCTTCCCTCAACAGCTCCCCTAAACCCCTCAAGCCCCCTGCAGTCCCCAACACAGCCCGCCCTTCCAAAAAAAAAAAAAAGAAACCTTCCCCGCTGTTCCTCAGCAGGCCTCCCACCGTTCTCAGCCCCCTCCCCTCAATTGCACTTCTCCCCATAAGCCCCCAAACATACTGAGGCCCACCAAAAAGCTGAACCCAAACATGCAGCAGACTCGCGCTGCCCCCGTGTCCCTTTGCACACCACCCTTGGCTCTCAGCCCCCCTCCTCTCAATTGCACTGGCTCCCCTAAGCCCCTGGACCTATTGCATCTTCCTCCTTCCAAGATTCCCCCTTGCATTCCTTCTAAGCCGTCCCCCCCCAGCGTCCTCCATACCTGCTCCCGAGGGTCCTGCTTCCATCCCATCCACGCGGGCGTCGCCCCGAGCCTAGCGGGGGGAAGAGAGAAAGTCGAGGCGGCGGACGCGGTGCGGGGGGGGGGCGCTGAGTGATGCCCGCGAGCGCGCGCCGGGACCAGGGCGCCGCTCGCGCTGCTGCAGCCGCAGCCTCTGCTCTGTACGAGGCAGCGCCTGGGATTCGCAGACCGCGCATGCGCAACCGCCCGGCCAACCAGCAGCGCCAACCAACCAGCAGCGCCGGCAACGCGTCACAGGAGGTCTTCAGCTCTTCCCCCCCACTCCCCGCTCTTCCCCCCCACTCCCCCCACTCCCCGAGATAACTGTCCCTAGGCAGTCCTCACTTCAGGCTCTTTTGAGGAATCCTCCATGTGCGGGGCTATGAGTGGTGATTGCATTGGGGACTCATGGGAAACAGGTAAACGGAGGCGACAAAAGGGAGCCTACCGAGTTGCACTCCCGTGCAATCTTTCCGTCTCCTTCCCCCCCCAAGGCTAAAAATTCAATAGGAAAGCTATTTGTCCTGCTTATCGCTGCATCTCTCTCTGTTCAATTCCATGAATGCTATTGTGGGATCTGAGAGCGCAGGAGAAAAAAGGAATTTCATCCGTGTGGAACTGTTTTTGCCCGCTTAGTATGGAGGTGATTGATTTTAAAAAAACATTTCTGAAAAGCCTAAGAAGCAGCGCTAACCCTGTGTTTTTGCCCCCCACCACTAGCTGCAATTGGAAACCGGAAATCTCTGTGCTGAGCCGTTAAGAGTGTTAACAGTGCAGCCCTTCTCTCTTCCCCTTTGCCTCGACTCCTGTTGCCAACAAAGGAAAAGGGGGAAGGAATCCTGTGGGTGCCCCCTGGCGGCGACCTAAGGGAGCCGCAAGAACAGAATAAGGCTCGGGGCCGTATAGGGCATATGCAGCATGGGGGCCATTTTGAAACCAGAACGAGTCTGGGGGAATAACCATCCGAGGCCCAAGATGGAGGATAGTATTTTTTAATGCTTCCCATACATTTATTTTAAAAAAAATATGCACTGCAAGTAGAAAACTAGTATTGCAGGGAGAGGGGTAGGCCAATACCCCTGTGCTGTGCTAATCTTCTACTTGCAGGGAGTTGTTGCTGGTTCAGCTTTTGTTGTTTGTCTGCTTCTCAGACATGGGAGAGTATTCATCAATGGTACTCCTCACTTTCAGGCTCATCATAAAAAAGCCTTGTAACAAAGTTAATATGGCATAAGGCATGGATGGGGAACATGTGACCCTTCAGCTGTTGCACTACAACTCCTATCAGCCCCAGCCAGCATGATAGTGGTTATGGCATTGTAGTCCAACAAGACATATGAAAGTGGTATATTTTCTCATCCTTAATGCAGAATATCTGGAGAGACTCAGGTTTAAATTCCCAAGCTGGCAATGAAGCTCACTGAATGGCATAATCTCCAACATTTCTCTGATGAAAATAGGGACATCCTACTCCAGAATAATAATGATTTTATTATTTATACCCTGCCACTTTTGCATTTTGTCTTAAAGAGCACCGAGATCACATTGACATAGAGCTGAATAATGCTCTGCACTGCAAAAAAGGCAGAATCTTGAAGATGTGCCTGCTCAAACAAGATGTAAACATAAGTCTGGTGACCCAGAGTCATATAGAATGATTTTGGGGCAGGGGGGACAGTTAGTAAAATGAGATGGGAAAGTCATTGGTGCACTGCAAAGCTTGCACGAATTCTGGAGGATGGGAGGTGGAGAGAAATAATCTCAACTGCTACAAAACAGAATGATGCACAAGCACAATATTTTAAATGGGAAATAAAACTTTATTACATAGGAGATAAAATATTTAATGTCCATTTATCACTGTAAAAAAACAAAACACCCATTATGCCACTACTTCAAGTCTTTCTCAAAACTCACATTCTCTGCTGTGTCTTTGGCACACACCACTTCTCCTAACTCCACAACCAAACAAGCTTTCTCTGTAACTGCAATAATTGCAGTGTTTTTCTCCATTTATCCCCGTCTTCATTTCCTTTCTTTAATTTTGCAGTTTCAATTACATTCCAGATTGTAGTCGTCTTGGATTATGGAATTGTCATCCCATGTTTAGTAAACCATGGGGAAAGCATGTCATAAGTATATTTGTGCTGCTTCCCTCATTGACATTTTCTTGCAAGTATTCAGCAGCCTCGCTCCCCAACTATTAAAAAGATAAAATGAAGTCTACAGCACTGAGAAAACAACAAGCAAAGCAAGTGTGCACGATTAAGTATATTCTCAACTGTTCTGTTGAGAACAGTGGTTACCTGAATGGAGGATGCAAACCTGAAGACAGATTCATGCCAGTGACTCTGAGCAAACAAGGGAGAGCCACCAACACTAAATTTAGTTGTAAGACTAAATTAAAGTGGTATACTTGTTCCATTAGAGAAATGTTATATTGTGCAAGAGAATACATACGGTGGTTACAGATAGCTTTATGCAACTATTCTTTGGGCTCCTCTTTGTGCAACATTAAAACTCACCCATCTGCTGGCGCAGGAGTCCTTGCACTAGTGACAGAGAACAGTGAATACTGTACAGCCCTTTGTAATACATGTGCATGCCACAATACTCATTCCAGCCCCACTGAACCAACTGGGTGTGTCTCTTGTTCCAGGTGGGCCATCCAACACCACTAGTTGTTTTAACTTGACCTACATCAAAACTAGAGTACACAAGAGACCAAGGGCTCAGCTACATTAGTCAAAAAACGTTTTGAATGTGTTATAAACATACAAAACCAGATGGCACCGGAGAGCAAAATAAATTTCTATGTGATTTTTACATAGTTCCCCCCCCCTTGTGATAACGATTTAATTTCTGACTTATTTATAGCATTTTTTCCCTAAGTGTAGATCCACCCCTAGCTAGCATTGCAGCATTAAAAAGCTCCCAAAATTTGGTCTGTGCAATGCGAAGTTTTATGTTGAAGCAGGCCAGTGGTGGTGAAGCTGTGGCCCTCCAGAGGTTGCTGGACTCAAAGTCCCATAATCCTTGACCATTGGCCATGCTAGCTGGGGCTGATGGGGGGCTGGAGTCCAACAAAACCTGGGGGGAGGGCACAGGTCCCCTGCCCCTAGTGTAGCCATTGACATAACTTGTGATAAAACTACTAGAGGAAGGGTAGAGAGGAGAAACTTCATCCCTAGGTGCCCAATCAAACACTTGGGATGCAGCCTGGCAAAGTACCACTTGCAAAGAACGTGGCCCAGCTGTGTCTGCCCACCACCTCCCTCAGCTGTAGAGTGGTGGAGCCTGCAGGTGCCCGAGCCACCGTCTCACTCCCAGAGATGCGTGGCTTGGGAGCGGCAAGTGCCGCCCTCTACGGTGTGGTGCCCAGTGTGCCCCCCCGACTCTCCTAGCTATGCCTCTGAGATCCAGTTACTCTACCGTCCTTGTCCCTTTCTCAAATAGCTGTGCACTAAATGGCTTCTGTTCTTTTCTCACAGCTCCTGCAGAATGCATGCCTAATGCTGAATACCCCTACAAATAAAGATTCATCTAGTCTAGCATCCTGTTTGCCACCACAGGGAACAGCAAGATCCTTGTAGGAAACCAAGAGGCAATTTTAGTCACTGGCATCTTGCCTCCGGGTTAGGAGCCATTGAGAGATCTATCCTTTTCTATGAATTTGCCTCATCCCTTGACATCTGTTCTAGTGAGCAGGATATCTTGTGGCAGTGAATTCCTTTTTAAGTCAGCTATGGGGTATTGTTAGTTACTTCCTTTTGTCTGTTGTAAAAGCTATAAACTTATTTCTCACCAACCTTAAATTCTTGTATTGTGTAAGAGATAACTTCTTCCCACCTCCAATGAGAAACTTATAAATGCTCTTGCTCCTAGTGCACTTTTGTTTTTTCTAAACTACGAAAACTCCACATGATCATTTTTGTTGGGAAGCTATGCCAAAGCTTAGCCATTTTGGTTGCTTTTCTGTACCTAGTTCAGCTCTATAGTTTTTGACACAAGTCACCCAAACTGTTACACAGCCATGGTTCAAACTTTCATGGTTTGAACGTTTCCTAATAAACTTGGACATCGAATTTACCTTGCCTGCTGCCATGCAGTTACCATTTTAACTGAGTTAACCACTACACCTCAAATGATCTATTTCCTGGTTAGTAACTGCCAATTCAGACCTTTCGTGTATATACAATGAGTAGTTTTGGCTAGAAAATGAATCACTTTACATTTAACTGAACCTTATAGCAACTCTTCCAATTATTTATGCCTCTACTCTTACTTACCATATGGCTCTATGCTTAGATATTACAAATTATGTTATATTCTCAAATATCTGGTTTATAAATCAAGCATGTCACTGTTTAATACACAAGATTTCCTCTGTTATGCAATATACTGTGTTTAAAATTTAGATAATTGAAAGAAATTTCTCTTAGAAGCACAACAACTATCCTACAGGCTATTCATGATCATGATAATTATCAATTATTATTATACACCAAGAAAGAAAAGAACATTTGGCACCCAAATGCCTTTATTTATTTTTTGGACACATGAACACAAAATCCCTGCAGGCTAAAAAAAGAGAAAAAAATACATTGCAGTTATACACAGCCAGCATATTATCGCAATAGGAAGGCTATTAGCCTACCTTCCCCACCAACAGGGGTTGTGTTTGTTTTTTAAAAAGAAAAAAGTACCTCGTATTGCTATAGACATACATCCAGTCCAATTTTAATAAAATACAATTTAAAACATTACAAGTCTAACAATATAGAAACAAAACAAAAAAATACATCAGAAGTCAAAAATGAACAAATGCAAACAAGTTTTACATACATGTTTCAGGCTCTAGACAGAAATATCACCAAAATGTGTCAATAGCAAGGTATAAAGAAACTCTTAAGTGATATTCACATATGATCTTTCCTCAAATTGCACAAGGGAAAAAACCTTGCAGTTCAAACAGTATTGATACAATGCCCTCCAAGCTCTACTTTCCTAAAATGAAAGCAGAGCAACTGCCTTGCTATTGAGCAAGAAGGGGGTAAAAAGATCTACAACACATCCACAAGGGTAGTTTTTTGGGAGTGGGGGGTGGGAGGTTGGGGTTGGAGGTTTGCTAACCTGTCAGAATGGCCTTTTCCCCAACAGGTGGATAAAGGCTTTTGATATAAGGGTCATGTGGGGCAGAACGGGGTGGGGGGGAGGGGGCACTTCTAAATCATACTGATACATACTGCATGGAACATCTCTTTTGCATCCCTTGATTATGCCTCTTTGGGTGTCATCTTTAAACAGCCCTCAAGCAAAGAGCAAGCAACCCCAGCCTGCACCTCCAATCCGCTACAGAACAAAAGCTTTTCAGAGCCTCAGTTTCGAATTTAAGTGCTTACAACAAGCAGAACAGGATAGGGGGAAAGCAAAAAGAGCATGGTGCTTTGGTTGGCTCTATAAACACCTTTTGCTCCTAAAAAAATTCCCCTTTCTCCCCGCCCCAGTCCAAATTTGCTACATTTGAGAATCTTTCACAACATATAGCTAAACAATAGCCAACAGGCTTTAAACAAAAGGATAAAGCATAAAAAAACCAAACACCATAAGAACCTACAGCTACAGAATGCACGTCTTCCCATTGATTGACACATGCATAACAATTCAGTTCATCCCGTTTTCAGGGTGGGGGTGAGGTTAGTTCAGATGAGCAGAGTCAAGAGATTCTGCCATACAACAGCGTTGCTGCATCTGGATCTTGCAGTCATTAGTTCTGAAGACCTTTTTTGCTGCTGTTGCCACCCGTACAGCCCCTTGGATAAATCCTCAGCTTTTAAGCACTCCCACCCCAAAAGACATCATCACACTCTTCAGCAACAGAGAGTTAACTGAACATTTTTTTGCACAGAAAAAAATTCCAACAGGGGCAAAAATTAAAGGAAAATTCATGAAAAATTCCAAGAAAGTGCAAAAGTTGGCAAAAAAAAGCTCAGACATTTTTGGATGATAATTTTTTGTGACATTAATGCATTAAAAAGAATCCCGCTTATATATATATAATTTTTAAATACAGAAGACTTCAAAAGATAGCTGCGGTCTGTAATACATAAGAAAGATATAATGATTAGAACAGGGTTTTGTTTTGATAGAAGACAAAAAAGATCATTTCATCTAGTCCTGCCTATTTTATGATGAACAAGTGAGTCAGAAAAGCCCTTTCCAGGGCAAGTTCAGATTCCTGCCTACGCAGTTCTGGACAAACTGCAAGTTATGTTAAGCACCCATTTAGTAATAAAAAAGCATGCTTTCAACTGGTCACTTTCTTTCTTTAGCAAATGCAGCCAAAGAAGGGGTGTGTGTGTCAGAAGGGTGGGATCCAGATTTGCCTTTGGTGACAATGACATGAGGAAGTAGGGAACTTTTGGCCCACAGGCCCAATTATGCTTTCCAGGCTGGTTTGGGCAAACCATGCCTTCCCTTTTCCTGACCTGGTGTCATATACAAAATGTACTACTGATTCTTCCTCAACAGCTAGAAATCAGTGCTTATTAAATATGGTGCCTTTTTCTATCACTCTGCACAGTAACCCCACCACGCCTGTCCCAATCCAGAAGCTCAAACTGTTGTTTATAAGGAAGAAGAGTGGCCAACAGGAAATGTGTTGTTTTTTGTTTTTGTTTTGTAAGTATACTTAACATGTTGCTTGACTCCGATGTTCAAGAGAGTCAGACGTACCTGCAAGACAGGCAAATTAGAGAATCTCTCTGCTCCACATGCACTAGGTGTGCTTGGCGCTAGGAAAAGCTACCTGCTTGATGTTACAATATACATTTTTCTTCTTGACATACTCTCTCCCTCTATCCGAATTCACGTCCTTACCTAGTGCAAAAAAACCAAAACCATGCTACACACTAACCCAGGTGCTTACTCGCTTCAAGGTGCCTTAGTTCTCCATTTGTTGGCCAGCAGGAGTTCGATTCTTGCATTTTCTCCCTGAACAGGTATTTTTTTTAAAAAAGAAAAGAAAAGCAGCAGACCAACTGAAGCAGCACTCTTCCTCCCCACATGTCCTGATATTTATTACACAAGTGAGGTATTCTTAAGGGGAAAAGAAAACCAAAGACTTAAATACGTTTAAATAAATCTAGTATCTAAGCCTGGCCACACTATGCGTCAGAGCAGAGTTTGCTTCGCTCCTGTTTGATTGGGGGGGGGGGAAATAAAATTTTATAAGCTAGAACCCACAAGGGGGGGGAGAGAGGGGGAAGGAGAAAGAGAGAGATTTCTAAGAGGAGCTTACAAAAACTGCTTTCAGAAGACTAATGTCAAGTGTATTTTGATACAGCTGACTGACAGTATTTAGAAATGTAAACTTTCCAAGTATCTACAAGCTCTATTTCAAAAGACCGAAGGAAAAATCTAAACCACATAGCATATTGCTGACCTTGAGGTCTGGATCCAAACGTTCACAAGGTCACATGACTCTGCAACACCACCTGCTCACATCAGAGACTAGAGTGCAATTATTGGCAAAATCCCAATCTTTCACAGTGGCATCATCTCAGTTAAAAACTAGGAATTTAAAGCATATTGCGCTAACACTCACAAGCTAGTCTCAAGGCAGCACTACTATGGTCTGCAGATGCCCCACCCCACCCCCGCTTTTTGCATTACACATTTTAGTGGAAGAGAACCAAGCAAATAAAAGTTCTAATTTATAGAAATGGGTCAAGATCAACATTGAAATGTACACTTCACACATGCTAGCGAATGTTGCTGTACATGCGGGCAACCTAAACTCTCAGAGAAACAAAAGTTTTAAAATGCTGGTAAAAGTCTTCGATTGCTACTGTCACACTATACACAATTGTACATATTGGCAAAGCCTTCCCTATATATGGAACACCCACTTTCCAAGCTTATAAAAAGGGGCTAGACAGACCAATGGTGAATATAAAACAGTTAAAAATAATCATTTGTAAAAAGCATGAAGGGAGCCTTTTCTGATCCATTTAAGAACAAATTTCCTCTTCAGCAAAGTCAAGTCAATCTACACAAGAATGTTGGCTGTAACTCATGTAAAGTATTCAGCTAGAAAAGTTACTGCCAGGGTATTAAAAAAAAATTATTGCCAAAGTTAAAACCTTCTATGAAAAAGAGTATTAAAAATGACCTCAATTCATCAAACACAGCAGCATAAAATGGGCACTTTCGTAATGTCTGAAAAATACCTAAAACTAATCTTTTAGAACTTAGTCACATACTTTTTAGAGGGGGAAGCAGTTCAGCATTCTGAACCAGACAGTGGCAGTTGTGTGTAACCTTTATGATTTTACTAGACCTAGCAGAGGGCATTGCTATCCGCTTATGTTACACATTCACAGAACAAGAACCACCAAGTTGAATTCGCAGTTATAGTGCAATTGTTCTGCAGCCCGCGACTGCAGAGAGATTTACAAAAAGACTAGTAAAACTTAACAACAAAGCGAAAAAAAACAAACAAACAGCAATACCTCCGAAAAGTAATAGTTGTTGAAAGGTGTTTACAGTAAAAGTTCCATTTATAAAGTCTATATGGCCCCACACAGAAGAACAGTGGAATAAGATGTTTTGCCATATCTGGAGACTCACTAAGCAGTATGAAGAAGCCCAGGAGGAATTCAGCTTCTCGATAAGCTTAATGGGGGGACAAGGAGGTAACTTAAAATTGATTAGCAAAATATTTCAATAAAAACCTTTCGTGCCAAGTCCTTTAAAAATTTCTTTTTACGAGGATCAGCCTTTTGCGCTTTGAGGTAAAAATTCAGTCCAATGCAAAGACTGTCTATGAAATTCCTATTTACTGAAAATCACAAAATAAAAATGGCTCAATTGCGCCTGCATCGGATGTTGCTGCGTCAATTCAGTGCAACTGTCCCAAGCTGCTGGTGGTGGACAGCCTGAAATAAAAATGAGCCCTAACCACCAGTGGTTGGTGGCCCGCCCAACTGGGCTACTGCTTCTGCCTCAGACTCTCAGATTCGTATCAGGCAAAATACATTGTGTGCTGGGTGTCATGATGGATCTGCACTGCCTTGGCTAGCGCCTGAGGATCACGGCCGTTGCTCTGTCCTGAAACGTGGCTGCCTTCAGCGCTGCGGGGGGAGGGAAACAGAAAAGAGATTTAGTAGGGCAACATTGTCTCAATTGGTCAACATTTTCCTTTAAAAAAAAATATATTTATAAATCACAACATCCCCCAAACTGAAAAGCAGTACACAGGAGGATAAAAGGCAAAAAGTGCCAGCAACACCAAAAAACAAACAAACATAAAATACAGTTCAGACTTCACAGTGACAAGTAGAAGACAATAAATGCATGCAAACAGCTGCTCTATGAAGGCTCGCAGTACAGTGGTACCCCGCAAGACGAATGCCTCGCAAGACGGAAAACCCGCAAGACGAAAGGGTTTTCTGTTTTGGAGGCGCTTCGCAAGACGAATTTCCCTATGGGCTTGCATCGCAAGACGAAAGCCCATAGGGAAATGCTGGCGGTCGGGAGCAAAGACTTTCGCCCACAGCCAGCCTTCAGAAGAGGACCTCTTCTGAAGGCCGGCGGGGGGCAAAAGTCTTTGCTCCCCCCCGCCTGCCTTCCCCCCGCCTGCCCCGGGCGATCTTAAAATGCTGGCGGGCGGGAGCGAAGCGTTCGCTGCCGACCCCCAGCATTTTAAAATCTCCAAGGGACAGCAGAGAAGTCTCTGTCCCGGGGAGATTTTAAAATGCTGGGGGTCGGGAGCGAAACGTTAGCTGCCGACATCCAGCATTTTAAAATCTCCCCCTGTCCCGGGGAGGTTTTAAAATGCTGGGGGTCGGGAGCGAAGCGCTGCCGACTCCCAGCATTTTAAAATCTCCCCGTGTCCCGGGGAGATTTTAAAATGCTGGGGGTCGGCAGCGCTTCGCTCCCGACCCCCAGCATTTTAAAACGCTGTTCCGAAGGGGGGGGGGGACACCTGCCCCAGCCGCCCCACTTCGGAAAGCTGTTCCGAAGTGGGGAGGGGGGGCGGGGACATCTGCCCCAGCCGCCCCACTTCGGAAAGCTGTTCCGAAGTGGGGAGGGGGGGCGGGGACATCTGCCCCAGCCGCCCCACTTCGGAAAGCTGTTCCGAAGTGGGGAGGGGGGCGGGGACACTTGCCCCAGCCGCCCCACTTCGGAAAGCTGTTCCGAAGCGGGGAGGGGGGGCGGGGACATCTGCCCCAGCCGCCCCACTTCGGAAAGCTGTTCCGAAGTGGGGAGGGGGGGCGGGGACATCTGCCCCAGCCGCCCCACTTCGGAAAGCTGTTCCGAACTGGGGAGGGGGGCGGGGACATCTGCCCCAGCCGCCCCACTTCGGAAAGCTGTTCCGAACTGGGGAGGGGGGGCGGGGACACCTGCCCCAGCCGCCCCACTTCGGAAAGCTGTTCCGAAGCGGGGAGGGGGGCGGGGACATCTGCCCCAGCCGCCCCACTTCGGAAAGCTGTTCCGAAGCGGGGAGGGGGGGCGGGGACATCTGCCCCAGCCGCCCCACTTCGGAAAGCTGTTCCGAAGCGGGGAGGGGGGGCGGGGACATCTGCCCCAGCCGCCCCACTTAGGAAAGCTGTTCCGAAGTGGGGAGGGGGGGCGGGGACATCTGCCCCAGCCGCCCCACTTCGGAAAGCTGTTCCGAAGCGGGGAGGGGGGGCGGGGACACCTGCCCCAGCCGCCCCACTTCGGAAAGCTGTTCCGAAGTGGGGAGGGGGGGCGGGGACATCTGCCCCAGCCGCCCCACTTCGGAAAGCTGTTCCGAAGTGGGGAGGGGGGGCGGGGACATCTGCCCCAGCCGCCCCACTTCGGAAAGCTGTTCCGAAGTGGGGAGGGGGGCGGGGACACTTGCCCCAGCCGCCCCACTTCGGAAAGCTGTTCCGAAGCGGGGAGGGGGGGCAGGGACATCTGCCCCAGCCGCCCCACTTAGGAAAGCTGTTCCGAAGTGGGGAGGGGGGGCGGGGACATCTGCCCCAGCCGCCCCACTTCGGAAAGCTGTTCCGAAGCGGGGCGGGGGGCGGGAACACCTTCTGAAGGCGGGCAGGGGGCGAAAGTCTTTGTCCCCCCTGCCTGCCTTCCCAGGGGCTTTTAAATCGCCCCGGACAGCGGAGAAGTCCTCCGCTGTCCCAGGGTTTTTTAAAATGCTGGGGGTGGGAAGAAAAGCCCTTGTCCCCCACCAGCCTTCAGAAGAGGTCCGGGGACAGACTGTCCCCGGACCTGGTCTGAAGGCGGTTTCCCTCGGAACGCATTAATTGATTTTCAATGCATTCCTATGGGAAACCGTGCATCGCAAGACGAAAAAACCGCAAGACGAAGAGACTTGCGGAACGAATTAATTTCATCTTGCGAGGCACCACTGTACAAGAAAAGGCCACCAAAACCAGAATGCCATTGGTGCACAATTTGTTGCAAGGAACAGGGTATCCTACCTAGTAAATGCTGCTGCACTAGAGGCCCTACTCTCAGTGGCTGCAAGATGAATGCGAGAAGAGTCTTGTTGCTGAGCTCAGAGACCAAAGGTCCATCTAGTCCAGCATCCTGTTCTCACAGTGGTTAACCAGATCCCCGTGGGAAACCCACAAGCAGGATGAATTTCAGGGGCATCTAGCACGATTAAGAGAGCCTCCTCAGATTACCTGAGCAACCGAGCAGGCTGTAAGGTTGAAGGCAGGTTCTCAAGTAACCCGGTCCCAGGTTGTTCAGGGCTTTATATACCAACAGCAAAACCTTACGGTGGAATTCAACACAGCGCTAAATGGGATATGCATTCCTTGCCACTCACACAGAATACAAGCCCACAGTCTATCGCAGAGTAAGGAATTTCTAGCCACTGTTTGCCTTTAAGTAAGGGAATATGGTCCTTGGGCTGAATAAAGTTCACCATCCCTTCCTGGCCTAGTGGTCCATGGAACAGAAGCATGCATGCCCCTCGACTACTCACCTGTCATGATCTTTGTCCACAAGATGGTATCTTGCCCTAAATGCTACCAGCCTGGCATAGTATGCAGGAGCAGGGATCGAGACAGACCGTGTACACCTGACGTAAGTGTGACACAGCTGGTATGTCAGTAACTGCAATTCATCAGCAGTGAAACAGTTGTCATCCCACAAGACTTGGTAGTGAGAAGGACGGCTAGTTCCCTGCAGGAAGAGAAGGCCAGGAAATTCACTATTTTTATTTTAGAAGATGTGTAATGAAAGTTGAATGATTGGGCCCCTGTCAGAAAGTCCCTTCTCTCTTTCTCCAAGGGTAAATTACATCTCAGAAATAAGAACCCCGTTTATCCCTCTTCTTTTCCAGATGCCTCCCCATTTCTCTGAGATACACAGGTTTTAGCAAGGTTGAATGTCACTAACGACATAGGTAGAAGGGACTGTTCCACTGACTAAGAGGCACAAATGCTGTGGGCCAATTGAATTAACAGTATACTCATGCATTCTCCCCTCTAGCACACATTTTAATGGCTTAAATGAAGCTGCTGTAGGGCAGTCCCAATGCATGTAAAAGTAAATGAATCGTCAAAATATTAAGATATCATAACCAAAGCTGCAGATTACCTGAATTCCTGCATGGCTACAGAGGTAGAAGTCGAATTCAGAGGGATGTGTGATTGTGCTGTCCACAGTTGTGCCTGCTGGAACATTGCCACTTTTCCCCACCTATTAGATACATCAATGAGTGCCTTAATATTTGCAAATGTGGCAAAATACAGTTCAATGCCATTCAACCAACCAGTTGTTACCTTCTTGGCCACTTATCAGTGTCACACACTTTAAAATTTGCCTTCCACCTTTTTCTTCAGCTTTGTATAATGTATCAGTTATGTCTAACTGGATTTAAAGCAACATTAAGCATAGTTTTGTAGTAACAATAAAACCTGAAGTATACAGCTGCCCTATTGCAGCTACTTTTGTTGTGATAAAAATGGCAAAGTCAGGTATGTTGTCTTGAACACCTTGGGGGAAAGGCAAGCTATAGATGAAATATACTGTACAGTGGTACTTCAGGATGCGAATGGCGAGCAGCAAAACCCGGAAGTAACACGGTCCGTTACTTCCGGGTTGCCGTGGAGCGCAAATCCAACATGCTCAACCCGAAGCACATTCAACCCGAGGTATGACTGTATTTACAGTGGTACCTCGGGTTGCATACGCTTCAGGTTACGTACGCTTCAGGTTACAGACTCCGCTAACCTAGAAATAGTACCTCAGGTTAAGAACTTTGCTTCAGGATGAGAACAGAAATCGTGCTCCAGCTGCGTGGCGGCAGCGGGAGGCCCCATTAGCTAAAGTGGTGCTTCAGGTTAAGAACAGTTTCAGGTTAAGAACGGACCTCCGGAACGAATTAAGTACTTAACCCGAGGTACCACTGTAGTACTCTTTTTGGCTTTTGGATACCCTCAGTTTATAATTTATTCTTTACACCATTTTTCAAAGTTTTAAGCTTTAAGTTCAGGAAGAACTACTGCCTGTCTTACAGCTATAGCACATTGCCCTACAGCTTAAGAGTTGCTATGCTACTGACAGCAGACTTGCAGAATGGCCAAAAGCAGCACTTTCAGTGTTATTCTGAACCTGAGTCCCGGTGCTTACTTTGGTATCCTGCGCATCTGAGCATTTAGTTACAAATTATACCTTAGGAAATTAAGCACCCTTCTCAAGTCATCCTTTGTCTGGCTGCATGACATTATTTATTTTATTATTATTAATTTAATTTATACCCCTGCTCTATGGTTTTTTCCCAACTTCATTTTGCAAACAGACAAGGAATAACATTATGAAATGTGCTAATACATCGCCTCTTTCCATCAAGAGTTATTTGGCAGCCCCGTACAAGATGTGGTCTAATGAGATGCCTCGTCATTCCAAAGGAAGCATTGCCTACCCTTTCAGATTTGTCAGCACAGAACAGCCTTGTGTGATGCCTTTTCTGAACAACTATGTAGGTGATTCCTGGTCTGTAGTCTTCCTCCAAACTGATGCAGGCCTTCCGGATTGCAATGAGTTCTGGCCAGGCCACCTAGAAAATTTAAGTGCTTGACATCAGCTACTTATCTGGATTGCACAAGGTCATTATTTTTATTGTATTTATCCAATACATCCAACTCCTTACATAAAGGACCAGTAAAATAAGTAAATAAAAAATTTAAAAATGTCCAGTAGCACCTTAGAGACCAACTAAGTTTGTTCTGGGTATAAGCTTTCGTGTGCATGCACACTTTTTCATATACACAGTGTGCATACACACAAAAGCTTATACCCAGAACAAACTTAGTTGGTCTCTAAGGTGCTACTGGACAATTTTTTTATTTATTTCAACTGCATCAGACCAACAGGGCTACCTACCTGAATAAACGGCCAGATTCCATTGGCACTGTAAGATTTCAACTTAAATGCCAATTCAAGTTGAGGATGAAGAAGATTGGTTTTCTCTTATTATTCCTTTATTTTTTATTAAGCTTCTAAACTGCTCTTCAACCAAAGATCACAGGGCAGTTTACAGTATAAAAACACAAAATGATATACTGTAATACCAAATAAAATCAGTAACTGCCTACAGTACTGTTCTTATTATTTATTCAACTTATATACCACCCTTTTTAACCACTGCCATGTTTACGTATACCTGTACAGAGTAGCATTTCTGCAAGGGGGGGGGGGAGGAGTATGTAACGCTATTAGTCTGTGGATGTATCGGATCTCAAAAGTAACTGCAGTGGCACAGCCTGCATGTGATACTAATAGTGGATCTCAAAATTGGATAATAAAGCTTATGAACTACCGTATTTTTCGCACCATAGGACGCACATTTTCCCTCCTAAAAAGAAAGGGAAAATGTGTGTGCGTCCTATGGAGCGAATGCAGGGGGGAGGCAGGCGGGAAAAGCCCCCAAGAGCCGCACACAAGCTCCGTGCGCTCTTGCGGGCTTTTCCACAGGAGGGAGAAGGGACTGACTGGCCGCATCAGTCCCTTCTCCCACCTCCCAGGAAAGCCAGGAGAAGCCGCGATCTCTTTAAAGGAGTTGCGCGGCTTCTGCGGGCTTTGGTGAGAGGTGAGGGAATCCCCCCACCTCCCAGGTAAGCCAGAAGAAGCCGTGCAGCCCTTTTAAAGTGAGCGCGGCTTCTGCCGGTTTTGCGAGAGGTGGGGGAATTCCCCCACCTGCCAGAAAAACCAGGAGAAGCCGCGATCTCTTTAAAGGAGTTGGCGGCTTCTGCGGGCTTTTGCAAGAGGTGAGGGAATCCCCCCACCTCCCAGGAAAGCCAGGAAAGCCCTGCGCAGTGTCTCCCGGCAAGGAGAGGCTGCACGGGGCTAAAGGAGAAGCCAAAACAGTGAGCGGGATCCATCCCGCCCCCTGCCTTGGCTTGCTCCATAGCTGCGCGCAACCCCTCCGGCAAGGACAGGCTGCACGGGGCTATGGATTCTTTAGCCCCACGCAGCCTCTCCCGGGAGGGGGAGGCTGCGTGGGGCTAAAGGAGAAGCCAAAACAGCGAGCAGGATCCATCCCGCCCCCTGCCTTGGCTTGCTCCATAGCTGCGCGCAACCACTCCGGCAAGGAGAGGCTGCACGGAGCTATGGATTCTTTAGCCCCACGCAGCCTCTCCCGGGAGGGGGAGGCTGCGTGGGGCTAAAGGGGAAGCCTAAACAGCGAGCGGGATCCATCCCGCCCCCTGCCTTGGCTTGCTCCATAGCTGCGCGCAACCCCTCCGGCAGGGAGAGGTTGTGCGCAGCCTGTACGCTGCTCTTTGGGGCTGAGGGAAAATTTTTTTTTTTCTTGATTCCCCCCCCTAAAAACTGGGTGCGCCCTATGGTCCAGTGCGCCCTATGGTGCGAAAAATACGGTAAATGCTTTTTAGGACAGGCTTCTGCTTCATGCAACCTCATGGCACAAACTTCTTTGTCCAGAAAAGAAGTGGAGTCTCCTGGACCTTCCTAAGTTTGGAAAGCTAAACCTCCATGCAACATATAAGGATCTTGAGACGAATACCTGTTTCATCTGCCCTTCTGACACACCTCCCCTATAGTAGATGATCCGCGTGGGCTTGAAGCGGGTGGACTTATAGAACTGGATCAGCAGTTCTCGCACCATGTTGGTCAGGTCCTGAATCACTTCCTGGCTGTACAGCAGCTCTTGGGAAGTTTCCTGGCGGGAAGTCTGTACTCGCACAGTAGCACAGTAGCGGCTAGGGTGGCCGTCCATGCTGCCTACGACAGCAGCGATGGAAGGCTTCTTCCCATCCCCAGCAGGCGGATGTGTGACATCTGCTCCCAGAAAGATCACTGGCTGCTGGAATACAGAGGGCCTGTTCAATTGAAAAGGAGAGGGAAAAAAGTTTACATTGGAAATCAAGTGTGGGATGCATTTTCACATTCCCTTCACCTGTCTTTTGACTTTATGCACCAATGTACACTGTCAGATGGGCAGGGTACCACAAGGACTGAACATTCTGCTGTTCCCATAGGCAATGCTGTAACTAACCATAAGTGCACCTGGTGCAAACCACATACTGTGCCCCCATGCTCCCACTATCTATACCAGGGGTCAACAACCTTTTTCAGCCATGGGCCGGTCCACCGTCCCTCTGACCATGTTCCTATGCCCCACAAATAACCCCAAGATGCATTTCATATAAAAGCACACATTCTACTCATGTAAAAATACCAGGCAGGCCCCACAAAAAACCCAGAGATGCATTTTAAATAAAAGGACACATTCTACTCATGTAAAAACACACTGATTCCTGGACCGTCCACAGGCCGGATTGAGAAGGCGATTGGGCCACATCCAGCCCCCAGGCCTAAGATTGCCTACCCCTGATTTATACATATTTAAATTAGAACCAAAGATTTAGAATTAGAATCAAATTAAGAAAATTTACAGTCAGTGGAGCCTGGTAACATTTTGACTTGGTAGGGCTACAACTCTTAACCTTGCTGTTTTCATCACAGTAGGACTTGCACAACACTTATTTAAGGAAAGCATGTCATTAACAGTTGTGCTGAGAGCCAAAAATTATTCTGCACATCTATGGACAGGGGAAGAGGCTTCATGTAAGAGGGCCCGACTGATTCTCAGACAAGAATGACTCTGTACCTTTTATTTAGAAATTAGATATGTTTCTTTTATTTATGTATTGAGTACATCTATACATCTATTGCCATGAAACCAACACTTCTAAAATGGGAGAAACACTTGCTTTCAGTTGCATGCAACTCCCCCGCCCCTGCCAAAATTTAGCTTTTCATTAATCAATACACTTTCTCTAAATGAAAAGAATGAGGTATTTCAACCAATAGACAAAAATTATTGATTCATTTGATCAGTATAGCTGAGTCCTGAAAATGTGAAGTAATAATGTCTCATGCGCAGAGCACATCGCATCAGAACAATCACTATCAGCCTCTTACGTCTGAGATTAGGGAGAAATACCTTTCAGGTTTGGGGAAGGATGTGCAGTCAGTCAGTGTGACATCCGGACAGGCACAGAACCCAAACTTTTCGTTTTAGAAATTAACTGATAAGCTCACAAGCAAGTGAGAAACAATTCATAGCACCCACATTTTCTTCCATTCTGCAATCAAGATATTCTGGGGGCACTTATTGGAAGCTGATCTACACACCTTTTCTGGAAAGGCTCTGGAACCGCACGTGGCTCAGACAAGCTGCCCTGCCCTACCCAGCAGCTGCTGCAGCTTTTAATGAGTGAATGCAGGGAAATGGTTAATACAGAGTTTGCAGCTACACAAGCCATCCACCATTTCTCCTCCCAATCCATTTTACAAAAATAAATGCAAAGCAATTAAGCGCGCGCGCGTGTGTGTGTGTGTGTGTGTGTTTGTGTGTGTATATATATATATATATTTGCTTTCGTAGATTTTCACGGGTACAGGAATGCAGGTTTTGGTGTCCTCGGGTGTCTTCCCGTGTAAAAGTTGGGGTGTCTAGGCGACGTTTCGACGAGGTCTCACTCGTCATCTTCAGGCTGGTGCTTTCGGCTTCTTGTTACTGGGACAGAGCAGGATCTCAGTGTTTGAGTTCCTATAAATACTGTTGAGGGGGTGTGGTGTATAGCCTCCAATGTTCTGGGCAGAGAGGAAGTTCCCAGGCTAGTGTGCCTTTTCTTCTTTTGTTCCTTAATTACTTGAGGGATATCTTGAGTGATTTCTTGAGTGATATCCTGAGTACCACTTAGGTGGGTCATTAGGTGTGGATTAGTTGCTAAAGCCTTCGTGTCTTGACCTCTTGAACTTTGTGAAGAGTTTTTCTGAGAAGATGGCTGTACTCAGAAAAACTCTTCACAAAGTTCAAGAGGTCAAGACACGAAGGCTTTAGCAACTAATCCACACCTAATGACCCACCTAAGTGGTACTCAGGATATCACTCAAGAAATCACTCAAGATATCCCTCAAGTAATTAAGGAACAAAAGAAGAAAAGGCACACTAGCCTGGGAACTTCCTCTCTGCCCAGAACATTGGAGGCTATACACCACACCCCCTCAACAGTATTTATAGGAACTCAAACACTGAGATCCTGCTCTGTCCCAGTAACAAGAAGCCGAAAGCACCAGCCTGAAGATGACGAGTGAGACCTCGTCGAAACGTCGCCTAGACACCCCAACTTTTACACGGGAAGACACCCGAGGACACCAAAACCTGCATATATATATATATATATATATTACATGCGGTCTCCACTGTTGCTTGCCCTCTTTTTCTCTCAGCAATACCACAAAGCAAAACAAACAAACAGCTCCTCAAAACACTCCCTCTTGCTTCTGTAATTACAGAAGATGTTAAAAGTTATGAGGAGGGTCTGGGCTTCAAGGAAAGAGCTCTGAACATGCTCATGGTGCTAGGCTGTTCTTCAAGGTTTTCAGGCGGTCCTTCCTAATCCAGTGGCTGCTGAACAGCCCTCAAAACAACAGAGGGAGAGAGAGCGCTTTCAGGGGCTGAAAAGCCAGCATCTCTCCTAATATTCAATAATCCAAATGTTCAAATATCTTAATGTCAGAGGCTTTTCTTCCCAGAGACACATGTGAGGGGCCATTATTGCCATAGCTAGACATATGAAGGCATGGGATAGGCCCCGTAAAAAGGGGGGAAATCCTCATCTTCCCAAATTTTTCCTGTTGTTTTGTTTTCCAGTTATTGGACAATGGGAGAAGTGGTTCTATTTCAGTTTTTTCTTCAGGCCTTCACATCTCTAACTATAGCAATCCTTTTAGATTAGGACTGGCTGAGTGGTACAGAGAATGATTGGTCAGAGAACATGAAACTGACAAATGCCTCTGCAAGCCACTGTAACTTTATCAAAGTATAAAATATGTGTGGGAGAGGAAAGTGTGTATGTCCTTTTGAGATTTTTCTTGGGGCGGCAGAAGGGAGGGTTAAAGAATTGCTTGGCATTCTCATTGGGAATGTCAGCCGCCCTATTGGAAGAGCCTCCAGTCATTAAAATACTGCTTTATGACCGCATGCTAGTTTGGTCTAATTAAATTGAGGCACCAATAAACATCCTAATTTCACAAAATCACATTAATGCAATTTATTAATCAATGGCAAAAATGAGCAAACATTCATTGCATTGGAGGCAACTGAGCACTTTCCTGCTCTATGCCACACTTGCATCAACCAAATCTATTCTGGGAATTTTCCGAACTCTCTGGAGCTATTTTGTGGATAGTGGAGCGAGAGTAACACACTCAGAGCAGCACACAGTCAAATAAAATTAAAAGAAAACACAATTACAAAATTAGGACAGAAAAATAAAAAATTTCCCAGTACCAAGCATGTCAAATGGTTGGGTCTCAACATCTATGATGGCTTTAACAGGAATTCTAGTAAAGTTGTTTTAATGCTGCCCCCTATGTCGCAACAGCATCTAAATAAAGTGGGTTGTAATACAGAAAACTGTATAGTATGAACTGTACACAGTGCTATCTTGTTCAAACAATGACAGAAGCGCACATGTAAAAAACACAGCAAATATTTTACTGGCATCTGGATGCCTCCCTATTAGGACCAAAAGTGAGATTTTAGGCTTGTCAAGAATTTGCATATTACTATATAGAGTAATTTTTACTGGAAAGATGTTGGCGCCGTGCATTGCAAATGGAAGGCATTCTAAACAATCATGTCTCACTTTGCTTCTCAACCAATATCAACCAGAGTGCCTGCTGCATTAGATTCCTAAAGGTATTAAGTTTAATCTGACCTTTGATGTGGTACAAGCACGTTGTTTATCCCACCAAGTTTTGCATTGATCTTCAGACATAAGTTGGACAGAGTCTGCGGAGAGGTTTTCACCACGTTTTTCACCTGAACACACTGGGTGGCCATTCCTAACAGAGTATCCCCGACACGTTTGACTTCAGCTGTAAAGGAAAGCAAGAATTTACTTCAGATAATCTTTGTTAAAAAACAAAAAAACTTTTTTATTTTCATGGTACAGAAGATAAATTTTGAGAAAACAATTGTTACAACAATAAACAACAGATAACTTGTCCTGATAAAATTACAGACTTTTATCATGCCATATGTTAAAAATTTCATTTGATTACTTTAAGAGATCATGCCATGGAATCTCATGAGTGCTGGGTGGATTCCTCCCACAGTCTGAACAATTTATGTATTCAATAAACATTTGCCATATTACTTCAGACAATCTTAGCTAATATGCTCGATCTCACCCACCATCAGTGGCTAAGTGAAATGGAGAACCTGCTCAGTGAGTGTGTGGATTTATTTTGAGGAGCTGGGGGGGGGGACCTCACTGTGTTACATAGGAGGGAGGAAAAGGTGGTGCCAAATATATCATGTGTGCACGTTGGTCACAAATATTTTTGTTGGAACTGCAAAGTTATATTAAGTTTCACCTTCCTTACCATAGACTGGTGTCTTTCCAGGGAGAATCACTACAATTAGCTGAAGCCCAACATAAGTCAACTTCAAGTGTTTGAACATGGGCTCCACACTGTCGGCACCCTGTGCATATTTACAGAAACACGGTTGGCCCTGGATTGGCATCCCTGCATCCTTGGAGATTTTGCGCAGTTGATCAGTAAAACTCCTATAAACAAATTATGCCTTTGAGGTTATCAGCAGCAACCTAAAATCCTGAAAGTTTTATCTCTATTATTCTGAGCACACCATGAGATTCACTGCTATGTGACATAATGGTGACTAGCTGAGCCTGTTTTAAGAGAGAAAAATTAGACCATTCCTAGAATATAGGTTTTGCAACAGTCATTAGCTGTACTTGCTAACTGAAAATTCCACATACAGTCACAGTACAACTCAGAATACCATGAGATAAAGATAAATGGGACAGCTATTCCCTTCAGGTCTTGCTTAATCTTCTAGAAGTGTTTGGCCTGTCACTGTTGGAAAAGGAACACCGGAATAAATGGATTTTAATATAGTTAAATTATTATGGTTTTAATATGAAATTCCCAATGAAAATAAGCAAATTATATTGCAATTTTTAACTAGGATTGGGTAGATAGTTTCCAGTACACTTTCAGAAATCTAAAAAAAATACTGTGCACAGGCCCAGCCAAGAAAGTGGCTCTCACTGGCCCAATCTGCTACTCACTCATTTATCGTCAGGTCAGAGTTGTGCAGACACCTCTTAGGAGACAAACTCAGCTTCGATCTGTAGTGGCCACCTAACTGCCTGCCTCTGCCAGTTGCTTCCTGTGGGCTCTGAAAAAGAGCCAAAAAGGCTTACTCTTCAGAGCCAGGCATTCTGGGTGAGATAGCCAGGGAAATGCCCACCCCGCTGCTACAAGGGCTAGAAAGGCCTTCTAAACCATTTTTAAAAGTTTCAAAGGTCTTCCTAAGCACTGCAGCAAATCATGGCAGCAGTGCAAGCATTATCTTAGCCACCTTGCCCAGAAATACCTGGCTCCAAAGGACCCCTCTTTGGCCCACTCTCAGAGCCCAGAGGTGGCAGAGAAGCCACCTGTGCTGCCTTTGCTACTGCAACAGATAACATTTTTTTAAGTGGGGTGGTGGAGGCAGGAAAGGGGGGCAGCGACTCTGCTGCTGCCGGAAACAGAAGGATGGATTAATCAGGTGTCCAGAGGCTGAGTCCCATCAGCCAGACCATGCCAAGGGCCCCATGTAGTCTTGTAGCCCCATGCTAAGCCCCGCTCAGGTGTATGCCCTTAAGCGCTCGTTCTGTTTTGTTAGCTCATTTATTTCTGTGTAAAGCATAGCATACTAAAAACAATATGCTCAACAAACAATGCTTCCAGACGGAGGTTGCTAGCAAGTCACTGGCAACAAGATTTCCCCTCTCATCAGTTATTGGATTTTCTATGGAAACTGTAAAACCAGATCAAATATGGGAAACATATGGGTTGGCATTTTGATGTCAAAAATGTCATGTGGATGCAAGGAAAAGACTTGCATGCATTAGGGGCACTGAGCCCACAACCGACAGCTAAATCACCAGCAGTTATCAGTGGAAAAAAGAATAAACCACATTGTATATTCAAAGCTAGAAATGACTTACTTTAACAAGTCTTCTCGGCATTGTTTCTGAGGGGCAAAGCAGGCAACAGCCCAAACTTTGATTTCGATGCCAGCATAGAATTGCTTTCCCCTCATATCCCAGACACCCTGATTTGGTGTAGCAACCGTCTTATTCTAAGGAAGATTTAAAAAACAAAACAGTTCTTCCACAACAGCTTTAAGCTAATGTACAAATGAAACATTTTGGTAACTGAAGGTATTATGTTGAATATTTTTAGCATTATCTCATTTAAAAATATTATTTAAGATATAAGACTCGCCTTTCCACCCCAAAGAGAGCCTAGGACACCTAATAATAATAATATATAACCCTGAAGACAGTAGTTACTGGGAAGGAGTTACTGGGGGGGAATTAATGCTATCTTCCCAAAGCCTGAACAAATAAATAACATATGGCATTTCTCCTTCATGCTGTTAAACCTAAGTCTAAAGGGACTGAGTAGACTAGAAATTCAGCTAGTGATTAAATGATACATGATTTGTCTAATGTATGATTTTGTGGAAACTTACCCTGCCTCCATATTGCAGCATTGGTGCAGGCAACACCCTGCCTGTCAACTCTGTCATTTCATTATGGACAACAATTCCAAACTCCTTCAGATATGGATCTGGACCGCCTACCATGCTGTTACTCTTCACCTGGAGATACAAGAGAGCATCTCTTGAACACACATAATTACATGGATCTTTTACTTGCGCAGGTGTGGCTCAACCACAGCTAATTATCTATACTGTTTTCTGGGCTGTTGTCATTCTTTGCTCCATTCATGTACACCTAAGTTGTCAAAAATTAACTGGCTATGGTTATTTGTTGTCATCATAATCTGTGCCACAGCCAACAAACAAGCATGCCTTAACCTCACAATCCTACTAAGCCCAGTAGCCAAAGATGGTCTTTAACCCTGTATCCAAGTAAACAGTTTGAAACACTAACGAGAAAAGATGCTGTTGTGATATGCACACTGTGGCCATCATGTTTGCCACAGACTTATTTGAAGCTTTTCATCCCCATAAAGTCAAGTTAAGAGTTACTCACTAGTCTACTAATTTCTTCCTGCCTGTCAGGTGCAGACCGTGCCGTTGCCTTGATCATCGTTGACGTCTGATTGTCAGTTAGCTTCTTGATACATCGTTGGCCTGCTACTATATTACATACCTAAGATCAGAAAGACGGCATGTAGGCGACCATATTGGAATACAATGGGACTGAAGTAAACTGCCATGTTTATTTACCTCAAGGGGTAAATATGTATGTTTCTGCTCCTGCCCTACTTGAAGGCATGGAAGATGAGGGTATTTCAGCTGTAGACTGTACTTCTGCTTAAAATACTGGGCTACTGTACACTCCATGGCCTGCCCATTTTCCAACTGCAGAGGGAACCTGTGAGGGGAAATATTGCTTTGATTACTTATTCACAGTTATTAATGTTCACAAGAAAAATGTTTATATATTAGAACATGAATGGTCTGCTGTTCCTTGTTCTGTAATGCACATGTTTTTAATAGTTTAAACTTTAAAAATATTTATCTTAAAAGCAAAGGGTTGCATCCAACTCAAGAGGAGACCCACCAAAATTAATGAATATGACTTACTAGGATCCATTGTTTTAAATTGAGTCTACTCTGAGCAGAATTTAGTTGCTACAACTGAAAGAATGAGCATACATACGTTTGATGGCTGGCTGGCCTTCTAGTAACATTGCAAACTCTGTATTTTCTCTTCATCTGACCACAGTGAGTAACCTCTACTTTTAAACCTGCAAATCCAGAACGCACACCAAATACACCAATAAGCAAAGGTGAATGAGAAGAAATGAGAAGGCATTTGGGGTTTTATGTGGAACTCCAGATTCAAATCCCTGCTTCCTACATGGGTTAAGTGACTACATTAGAAAGCTGCTGTGAAGTCTACTTTATTTAGCCTGCCCATCTCTAGGTTGCATTACAGTTTCAAAGTCCCAGATAGGAATCAAAATATTATATGCTGAAATATCACACCTATGAAAAGCTTAAACCTGGTTATCAAAGATTAGGCCACATTAAAAGATCAAAATGTTTTTAACAGCTACTCAAGCTAAACCTATTGGGAAGAAAGAGCAACAGTACAAATGAGAAGAACTACAGTCTGCATACTGAAAAGTGCTATAGATGTCCTGGGCCTTCATATTATTTTCCAATGATGGGAACATACCAGAAGACGCTTTGGGATTCAGTTACTTTGTTTTTTACAATTCAACATGCATGAAAATATTTTATTTACTCCAAAGATTCACCTCTGATTTCTTTGGTAAACTTAACACGCTGGGAGTCTGTAAGGGGTTTTGTTTGTTCATTGATGTTCTGAATATCCAAGACTTCGCACATGAATTCAATAATAGGCTGGGCACGATAGAAAGCAGTTGCCGATACTAAAAGAGAACAACAACAAAATGTACTGAGAAATAGGTTTATGGAAGAGATTTAAGGCAACTAAAGCAAATGAGATTTTTTTCATACCATCGATGTTAAGCATCATGTTCCACATTGCAGGCCTGACAGACTGGTGGAAGCCAAACCAAACCTCACGACCACCTCCCAGTGGGTGATAATATCCTTCAGGGGGAGAGAAGAAGGAACGGCCCACTGGCGTGTACCTAAGAAGACAGGTGTATCAGCTTTGATTTCTTTGAAGGAAACTTGCAGATAAAAAATTCTGTACAACATATTACATGCATCAAGCATTACCCAAGTGGGACTTGCAACAAAATGCTGCAATGAGGAATGTTCCTGTTCAGGATTCCAGCCAGCCATGCCCTCAGCCAGGATATTCCATTCCATCTCCCATCAAGTCAGTCAGAATTCTGTGCTCGATCCTCAATAGGGCTGTATTGGTGGTGGTGGGGGTTTTTTTGGGGGGGGGGTTTAAAGGTACATCCACAAAAGGTAGTTTAACTAGCCTTGGCTGTGAGAAGAGTGAGAATATATCATAGGAGCTCACCTCATAGAGGGAAGGTGCCGTGTGATGACATCAAGTGCCTGTACAGAGTCTTCTGGGACTTCATTCAGATGCCCTGCCAGAGCTTCCAGGAGCATCTGAAGGCTGACCACAGACACCCACTGAACTGACACTTTAAAGGTTTGGTCCTTCCCTTCACCTGGGAGTGTGACCTCCATATCCACCTGAAAAGTCAATTGTGAAAGTTAGCCATATAGCTGATACTAATGCAGATGTTTTCAACTTTGATAAAGGCTGAAGCCCTTCACTGCTTGTACTCCACTGAAACTGGATAAAGATCAGTTTAAATTTAGGGCGGTTTTAGTTATAGCATGTATTTCTGCAGCAGAAGAATCTGAAATCTGCTCTTTGTAAAAACCCTTAAAAAGGAGTAGGGTTGGTCCTCCCGATATTGCTGAACCACAGCTCTCATCATTCACTTACCATTGGCCATGCTAGCCTGGACAGATCATTGGCCATACTAGCCTGGACTGCAGAGTCCCAACATCTGAAGGGCTGCAGCCTAGCCACAATAACCTTGATCCCAGAATATCATCAGTTTCATCATTAAGACTTCCCTACTCCTTCTGAAGCTGCAGATAACCACTCCATGGAAGTACAGTAAGTCCTAGAAGTATTTCAGAGCATATTGAGATGTTTTATTTAGCACAGTGAGGCATGAAAAGTGGCCCTCTCCAGAAAGGAACACACATACTATAAGATTCTCACTTTATACAATGGTTACATTCAGATGCAATGCTAAGCCATAGTGTATGGTTTATTTAATCATACTGTGCATAAACTACAAGCTTATGACGCAGGTCAAGCTCTCCCACTTTTGCTCCTTACTTAGTTGAGCAGGCAAGCTTTTGAACCAGCACTCATGATTTGTCTCTCTCCAAACAGGTCCCTATCAAGAAGCTCAAGTTTCTTCTTATCTTCCCAATCATAGCTTAATCAGAAATAAACAAATTATAAGCACTGGTCTGAACATGAAATGCTAAGCTGCTCCATGATTTGTTTCCCTGCTCATGTAAGCAAGGAGCAAAGGCGGAGAACTCAAGCTCATTCACAATGTTAAACTATACCTCATGGCTTAGCATCACATTTGAATTTATCCAATGTTGACAAATACCACTTTAAGCTTCTGCACAGCATTCTGTTTACACAGTGTTATTGCAAAACTTAGAACTAAATCAGTTTATCGACAGCTCATATTCCTGCAATGCTGAAGGTCAGGTTAAGCATGACATTAGGATCTAGGCCAGGCATCCCCAAACTCAGCACTATAGCTGTTTTGGGACTACAACTCCCATCATCCCTAGCTAACAGGACCAGTGGTCAGGGATGGTAGGAACTGTAGTCCCAAAACAGCTGGAGGGCCAAGTTTGGGGGTGCCTGATCTAGGCATCAGGTTGAGAATAGTATCTTCTGAAGGCCATTCATGAAACCACTTACCCTATCCCTGCCAATAGGCAGAGGATGTGCAGTGTACATGTTCCTCTTGCCATCATAGCCAGGCTGCCGATCCCCAAATATCTGCATCTTGAAGTGTCTCACCATAGTATCAACTACCTCCCTGAAAAGAGTTGGAAGCAAAATAGAAGTGAGCAGAGACAACAGGAAAAATTAGTGGCATGCAAGCATTTAGCAGTCTTGATCCAGTTTGTTAAAACATAATCCAAGCTGCCTGAAGAGCCCAAATAAGTAAAAATTATTTTAGTCCAAGTACAAGTGGCTTATACAGTATCAGATTGTCACCAAATCTGTTGCTGAGGATGCAGGGCTGTTCCATAGTACATCCAGTTTTAGTACTCAAATGCTCATAGCATATTTTAGTTCTTTACCCAAAGAACCTATTTAAAACTGCATCTGACAGCAGTTGGAGAACTGTTAAAAATAGGCTTGGAATTCTCTAGTTGGTCTCACCTGTTCACCCTCCGGGGACGCTTTTCTGGTTTGATATCCACATCATAATGATAAACATCGATTTTAGGGATCTGCACTTGGAAATGATTGGCTAAGAGACGAATCGGTTTCCCTACTGTTCCCAGGCCTGGACGACGGGGCGGCTGAAACAGGTTGGCTGGTGGCCCTGTAAAAAATTGAGAGATTTAGAAGGGTTGCCTAGCAAGCATTGCCAGCTTGATCATTTTAGCAATTCCAATTCCAATCCCAACAGGTACTAGAAAATTAAGGCCAATTAGGTTTTATGCTTTTCATATTGATGCTTTGTTTTATTCTTTTTTGTAAGCCACCCTAAGAATCAGGCTGAAGGACAGAATAAAAATACATGGACTGAACTACAGAGCTCATACTAACAGAAAGGAGAACATTGTTCTGTCCTTTGATTTCTCACACTCAAATAAGTTTACACTCCCCTTGAAAAGATTCAGATGAGATTGACAAACAAAAGTTATGCAGGCCTTCCTGGGAGCACTGCTAACATAGTAATAAAAGTCAGAACTGGACTTTGTGGGAGACGTATGCCCAAAGCTTGCATCCTTGACTTCTCTCTCCTTCATAGCATCTCAGTTATGCTGAGTATGATGTTATGAATCTGGGGGACAGGCTAAATTCCAGATCAGCTAGTGCCAGAATTTAATTAAGGTTTAAAGTGTTTACGCTTGTGTTAAAAGCTTTGTGTCAAACCAACAAGAGGTTAGAATCTAAGGAAGCGCAGTGTGTATTCCAGGCACCAGTAATGTAGCACATGTAAAAGCTAGTGAAGTAGGCACACTTCCTGGGTTGTGTGTTGGGACAATGATCCTAGCCAATGAACAGTTGGCAATCAGTCTGTCTTGCAATGGAAGAGTGCGCCTTCAGACATGAAGTCAAACTGTTGGAGAGTTATAGCATGTGCTATGGCTGTAGAGTCAGAGACAGAAGAGACATAATTTATTGCAGGTGGGGCAGATGAAAGTGTCTGGGTTTTGTTGCTACAGGTGCACCAAGGTGTGCTCTGGGCTCCCCCCAGCAGTCACTGCTATGGATACACAACCTGTCTGTCTGTCTGTCTGTCTCTCTCCAGGCAGGGATTCCAATAAATAAATAAATAAATAAATACCCGGCCCATCTGGCTGTGTTTCCCCAGCCACTCTGGGTGGCCTCCAACGGAGGACTAAAAACAGAATAAAACTTCAAACATTAAAAAGTTCCCTAAACAGGGCTGCCTTCAGATGTCTTCTAAAAGTCAGATAGCTGTTTATTTCCTTCACATCTGATGGGAGAGCGTTCCACGGAGCAGGTGCCACTACCGAGAAGGCCCCCTGCCTGGTTCCCTGTTCCCACTTCTTGCAGTGAGGGAACCGCCAGAAGGCACTCAGTGCTGGACCTCGGTGTCCGGACAGAACAATGGGGGTGGAGACGCTCTCTCAGGTGTGTGGTCAACAATGCTGATGACGTCCTGACCCAGGATATTGGTCTTCGTCAGACTGAGGATGAGGCCAAACTCCATGCAGGCCTGGGCAAAACAGCTGGGCATCTGCAAACAACATCTCTCAGATAACCAGCCCGGAAATGTTGTTTGCAGACTCTGTCCTGTCATGTAAAACCAGTCAACAAGGGTTAGTAGGAAATACTAATTTCCTTGTGAGATGATCAAGTGCACAGGGATAGACCATTGAAGTTCAAAGCATTGAAAGGGCTATGTGTCAGTAAGTGTGAAAAGCTAATTCTCTTTGAGGTAGTGAGCTTTAGCACAGGCATAGGCAAACTCAACCCTCCAGATGTTTTGGGACTACAATTCCCATCATCCCTAACCACTGGTCCTGTTAGCTAGGGATGATGGGAGAAACTGGAAAGAATTTTTGCTGGAAGGGAGGTTTTCAGACAACTGGATCTCGTTATGTTGAGCAACACATTAAAAAAAAATCAGTATCTGGTGTTCCACATTTGTCTGTGCAATATATTTCTAAGCATTGTTTCTTTTTGTTTTATAGCTAATAGCCCAGGCTAACTAGTAATATTTTGCATTGTGAATCTAACAAATCTGCTGAGACAAACCAAAAGGTCCAACTGATCCAACATTCTCTTTCCCACAGTAACCAGTCAGGCATCTCTGGGAAGATCAGGCAACAACCTTCCCTCCATCTGTCTCTAATATTCAGAGGAATACTGTATCCAAATCTGGATATTCAATAGCCATTGCAAGGCCTGTCTTCCACAATTTTGTCTATTTTTTAAAAGCCACTAGCCATCACCACATAAAGTAATGCATTTCAAGATGTACTTTATTTTGTCACTGTCAGGCAAACTCCTCCAGGGACAATTGCAGAATGTGCCACCACTAGAATACCCTATTTCTGGTCACCTCCAGGCCACAGCTCTGATGGTGGTGGGAAACCAAGAAGAGCCTTTTGGTGCATTTTCTTTAACAGGCATCCTTATGTGACAGGAGGCAGTCTCCGAGTTACCCGGGTCACAAGCTGTTTTGGGTTTTACTATCAACACAACCACTTGCAGTGGTGTGTTACATTTAAGCATTGGTGTGTGAGATACAAACCAATCCAAAGCTTTATGTGGAATTTTTATTGGGCTTCTAGTAAACACTTTAAGACACTTAGAACTCAAAATTGCATATAATTCCCTTAACGTGGTTTAAACATTAAGAGGGAAAATTAAGGTACTAAAAGCTGTTAATATATAGCTGAACATTTTATATTATTAGTCTCTTTAGGAATAGTCATGGGGGAAAATAGAAAATTTGACTGGTATTGTATACATTCATTACCATTACACATTGGTTTTATGGACAATGTATTTTTAGCAATGACATTTTTCGTATAAAATCTAGTGACAGAAAACTTTCAGAAATATTTTCTACTACGTTAACATTTCCCTTGCACACACTTCCCCCACCCACCTCAAGCTCACACACACACAAATGATTTAGCCTTTCCTCCTATGGAAAGTGCTCAAAGTTCAACTTCTCACAGAACTAGTTACATTAAAAACCCTCCTAAGTCTTCAGCTTCCTGAAGCCTGGAGAGCGAGAGCGGTCAGTGCGCACCAATCCCTCTCGCTCTCCAGGCTTCAGCGAAAGCCTGCGTTCGGCCCATAGGACGCACACACATTTCCCCTTCATTTTTGGAGGGGAAAAAGTGCGTCCTATAGGGCGAAAAATACGGTACCTCCACTTATATTTGTAAGCAAAACTCAGCTGATTACCATGAATCACTGCCACACAGCACAGCACTGGGTGTTATTTCCCCACACCTGTAGGCTGTATGGTCAACAGATTAGTATTTTAGCCCTCCTTCAGGCATTTCAGTCAATCCATACTTGCTCTCCCATCCCCTGCAGTCACTCCCCAAGCATCACCTGTCTAACTTCTTATGGGCCTTGACCAGTTTGTGTGACAGAATGTGGTCCTTCAGTAACCAGATCCCATGAAGTTTAGGGCTTTACAAGTAATCACCAGCACTCTGAATCAGTGTTAGAAACTGGGATGGAAAAGCTAGGAGCCAAATGGCTTCTGGGACCTGGGTTGCAGGCACCAAAACAGAATGTCTAGTCGCCACTGGGGAGAAGTTGGCAACACTTTTTATTTATTATTTTTATAAGCATGAGCTAATACACAATTCACTTAAGTGACACATGGTTAATATCACATTTTAGCAGAAATTGTTGATACATTTTTAATTTGGTGCTTACAATAAAAATATTGGTACCGTACTTCAGTCTTCAAAACACTCTACTTTTTATTGTTAAACTCCTTAACATATTTGTCTACCCTTAACATACACTTCAAGGCTTCAAAGCACATGCATTTCTGTAATCCTTGAGTGTCAGACAGGTGCAAAAAATGGCACCCAGACTTTGGGAGGTGCTCACAAATGGAGAATCTTTAGGTGCAAAATGCACCTGGCGCCCTGCTAATTTTGAACCCTGCTCTGAATTATGTAGCTTCTTGATGGCATCAGTGGCGTAGCGTGGGTTGTCAGCACCCGGGGCAAGGCAAGTAATTTGCGCCCCCTAACCCGTGGATTTGCGCCCCCTAACCCTAACCCCCAGATGTTGCGCCCGGCCCCCCCTGCACCCCCCACGCTACGCCACTGGAGGGACTCCCAAGAAGGTGAAGCGGGACTTCACCCCAGGGTATCTCGGAAGCCCTCGAGGCAGCGACGCTTCCACCCCCTGGAAACAGCAGGAAGGGAGAGCGCTCTTGTGCCCCGGTCCTGCTTTGAGTGCTTCTCATTGACGCGTCTGCTTGGCCACTCACTCTACATGGGCCCTTGTGGCCTTGATCCAGTAGCCGGGTCCTTCTTTGGAAAGAGCGAGCGCCTCCCTCCGCCCCCGCCACACGGAGCTCAGCCTGCACGTGGGCATGGCGCGCTGCTCTCTCCAGCTTCCTCCCGGCCGGGCCAGCGGCTCCACCTCTTTTCCTTTGCCTTTGAGCCGCTTAATTCCCAGCAAGCAATTAGCAGGCTCGCTCCACCTCCTCCTCCTCCCGGCTTTGCTGCTGCGAGGCTCTTTTCCTCCACCGACGGCGCGCTGCGCCTTGGAGAGGTTCCCGCTTCCTCGAGGGGGGCCGGCCAAACGCGCCCCCAAAAATGTTGCGCCCGGTGCGGCCGGCACCCCTGGCACCCCCCACGCTACGCCACTGGATGGCATAGAAATTTAATAAATATCAAACAAACAGATAAAATACTGTTAAAGAAAGCAACTGTTTTCACAATTCTTCCTGAGGTGAATTTGATTAAGAAGGTGAGTCATCATATCCATGAAGCCTTCACAACGGCAATTCTTTAAATAGTACCAAGCCAAGAATTTCTTTATTATGAGCTGTAGTAATGAAGAGGTTCAACTAATCTATGACTAAAACTTTATCAAGTAGACTCAGAATTCAACTGGAATTCAGCTCCTGAGTACATCACTGTAAGTAGTGGGAATCCCGCATTCCTTGCTGTAGGCAATAAATAAGTCACTAATGGCAAGAAGAGAGAGAAAAGGAAAGATCATATCTAGGTTGCCACTGAAGCAGGGTGCCACCATCCTTCACACAAGTAAGCATAATCATTTCACAATGCACAAGCCATTTCATATACCGGTAACTAAGAGGAGTTCTGCTGTGTCAAACTAAAGGCCAATCTA